GACAGTAGTATGGATCTGGAGAGCTGCAAAGCGGTTCCTTGGACAAAAGCAAGCCCTGAACAGTCCAAAGTGGGAGGGAGTGTCCCTAACAGGAGTCATCTCAGTCAAGGAGCGGGAGGATGCCTTAAGAGACATTTTTCTTGCTGCACAAATAGGTAAGTCTTTTCCAAGCACCACAACAGACCGGCTGGTGTTTCTGGGATGTTGGTATGTCGTGGCCGAGTCCAGAGCTTTAAAGAGGACAACGCTGGTGTTCCCATCTTGCCCTATGATGCCTGGGTATTGATGCTGCTAGCTCATGAAGCTCACAGTGAGAGTCATGATGGAGTGGCGGGAATTTTGCTCAAAATGAGAAGGAGGGCATGGATTGTAAAGGGGCGGAGAATCGCTCAAAGGGTTGTTGATTACTGTGTGACCTGCAGGAAGGCAAGAGCTAAGAAATGTCAACAAGTAATGAGTGATCTTCCTCCTGAAAGAACAGCACCTGCTGCACCCTTCCAGTTTACGACAGTTGACCTCTTCGGACCTTACCATGTCAAAGATGACGTCAAGTAAAGAGAGACGCTTAAAGTCTGGGGAGTTGTTTTCTGCTGCGTGGCCAGCAGAGCGATCCATACAGAGGTAGTCAACACTCTATCCACTGAAGGTTTCTTGATGGCTTACCAAAGGTTTACAGCGATCTGCGGGCATCCATGGAAAATCTGGTCAGATCCAGGCACCAATTTCATTGGAGCAAAGCCAGTGTTTGAGGAGGTGTACAGATTCCTGGGCAGCCAGGATAAAGCAGCCCTGGAAGAACATGCTGCCAAAAATGGAACGGCGTGGATGTGGAAAATCCATCCAGCTGATTCTCCACACCGGAATGGTGAGCGCTGCAAAGTCTTGGAAGAGAACCTTCACGCAGCTACAGTGAGTTCCAAACAGTTCTCTATATGGCCACCTACCTGGCAAATGAGGGACCAATTGATGCCGGGATGCAGAGCCGCGAGGATTGTGTTCAGTATGTGACACCTAACAGCCTTCTGCTCGGCCGAGCATCTCAAAACGGGGACTGTGAGGCTTTCAACTTCACAACCTATCCCTATAAAAGGCTCAGAGCAATGCAAGCTGAGGTGAACAAGTTCTGGAGGAGCTGCAGCCAACTCGCATGTCCCAACTTATTTGTCAGGAGCAAGTGGCACACAGCACAGAGAAACGTCACCGTTGGGGATGTTGTCAGGTTAAGTGATCAAAATGCACTAAGAGGACAGTACAGACTTGGCAGAGTCATCGGCACAAATCCAGACAAAAAAGGCATTGTGAGGGACGTCAATGTCAGAATCTTCCCAAGCTACTGCATTCCCTTGACAAGAGTTCTGAAAGGGAACATGGCTCATCCAAAGAAAAAGGAGAAAATCCATGCCACCCTCCTTCACAGGGATGTCAGGCGGCTCATCGTCTTACTACCTGCAGAGGAACAGATGGAAAGAAAAGTCAGCAACCAATCCTTGTGACCACAAAGTTTGCCTTTAAAGCCGGCAATCTCCCCAGTGTTTCCAAGGAAAAACAAGTGGGAGGTGTCAAGTCAAACTGAAGTTTAAACGAGTGCTAATTAAAGAACTACAACAACTGCAAAAGAACTACAAAAAAACAGAAGGAGGAACCATCGCACAGTCACTGCCCGGACTGTAAAAAAACGGCGCACGTCATCACAGGTGCAGATCATCACAATCAGGTACACAAACAGCGGCAGGCAGAGAGACAGTTCCCTCGTTGTCTTAACCCCTGCAGTAAGCCCATGCAGAACATGAGCTTCTACAAACACCAGAGAGGCAGCCGGTAAGACGCTGTGATCAGAGACTCTTGCTGATTGTTTGTGTTAGCGCTAACTTAGCCACAGGGTTGGTTGCCCAGCGATGCGTGGCTTGTTAACCATTTAATGCCCTTAATGTCCTGAATCTATTGAAATGTGGTGAGAATGTACTATGTAAAATATGTAAAGATTAATAGGTACTTTTGTATTGAGCACATCTGAGGGTTTCACTTTGATCTTGAAATTTGGTAATTTATGAAATGAAAATTGATTGTGTTGTGTGTTAATCACAGAAGCAATTAAGCAATTTAAATATAGCATGATTTGAGCATTTCATATTTTAATATTCAATGCAAACATTTCATATTTTGAATGTAAATAGTTGTGTAATTTGTGTACTAATTTCACTTTATTAAAATTTGACCATAAAATGTGATTGAGGTTAAAAAGTGTTAAAATACATAGTTAATGGTTAAATACAGTTGAAATTGAGAAAGTTTGTTAAAATGCATTAAAAGTAGAATAACAATAAATATTAAAAATAAGTAAAATTCATACTTACCTGACAACATGTTAAAACAACTGACAGCAGTGGGTAACTTTATTTGCACTTAATTTGCAATGTAATGTAAACATGTTGGGTTTCACAGTATTTATTTATTTATTTATTTAGGTGTTTATTTTTCTGGTATTTTGTATACTTCTCTTGTATTTTGTATACTTATTTCCATCATTGGCATTATGTACAGAATTTAAACATTTTTTTCTTTTTCTGTGTTTCTTTGATTAAAAGATTTTTCACCTAATGGCTAATGGAAATGGCTTAAACTGCTTGCACTTGGAAAATAAAAGGAAAAAAAAAAAGAAAAGCTGCCTGGTTATATGAGTGAATTCCAGTTAAACCTCTGGGTAGATGACTCCATCCCTTTCAAGTGGGGATACTGCATGGCAAAACCTTAGGAAACTTGACAGTTTGTGTCTGTCTTTGCTTCACCTTGTTCACAAACTGACTGGTGATGCCTGCGACTGCAAAAGGCGCATGAAACATTCTTGACTCTGCAAAATTTTGCTATGTGTTTTGGGCCTAAGCACATATAACACCTCCCTAGTTTTCTCAACTTCTCTTTACGTGCAGCCACTGAACTGTCTGGACAGTTTTCTGGTTTATGACTAGCACTGCTGCATTATATACACAAGTCTGAGGAACAATACTTGCTGTGTGCAGTGCAGCTGTTGAGGGTGTATTCCATTTTTTGTGTTTGTTTTCACTGAAGGATGTTGGCTTGGTGAAGGATCTGTTGCTTGGCGGGATTTCTTTCTGAGTGTTTCCTGGTCTGGTGAGCTGAAGCGCCCTCTCTTTGCCTTGTACTTCTTTCCAGAAATTGAATAAGGTCCTGCACCTTCCATTCACCACTGGAGTCTGATTTGCATGTGTAAGCTAATGCAATGTCCTCAGGCAGAGCAGGCAGCCATATGTGTCACTATGCATTCTTAAGGACAGGGCCATGCCTGACTAATATGGCACCCTAGGCAAGATATTTGCTGGTGCCCCCCCCCCCCACCCCGCCAAAATATAAAAAATGCAACTGTAACATCACAAATTGCACAACTCTGAAAATTGGAAAACATAAATATACAGTATATGAATATATGCCTGGTTGGTAAACAGTGAGTGGTTTGTGCAGCAGCACGCTAAACATTAAAAGAAAAGATAGGCCAATATATTCAATTATGTTGCTTATTCGTTCCCCCAAACACTGAGTCTTTCTTTCCAACTTTCTCTAAGACATTAACTGACATTAACTCTAGCTGAATGCTGAAAGTATTCCTAAAACAAGTGGCTAATGAAGTTGCAGTAACATTGACGTTATGTAGTAGTAAACCTAACTGCTAATCATTAGCGGCTAATGAGCTGACATTAGCTTGCAAGAGCTTTAGTAACTGTAACTTACGTTGTGTTTCTACCATTTTAAATGAAGTGTTCATCACATCACATCATTACCTCGGTCTCGTTCACGTTTCTCCTCCTCTTCTTTTCTTTGTTTTTGTACTGTGCCCCAGAGGGCTTTTGCCTCTTCATGATGATGGCACCCGACTGTCAATTTGTCACTCAGCAACATCACGTTACAGAAGACGGCAAGTAGCGGGGGGAGGGGGGAGGGGGGAGGGGGGCGCGGTTAGGGACCGTGGTGAAATTGATGCTGCCTGCCAGAGAGGTAGAAGGATGCCAAGCAGGCAGAAATTTAAATCAGAAATATTATTTCATTATTATTTAAAGACGTATGGCTATATGTACTGTTGTTGTTTTGTAGTGTATTCTTGTCTAATTTTTTCGAACAGAATGGGGAAGAAAAAAAAAACAAAAAACACCTCAATCCCTGGCACCCTCTGGCATGCTGGCGCCTATAGCATTTGCCTAACCTGCCCTATGGGCGGCACGGCCCTGTCTAGGGATTCAAGACTGAGTATCTGTATTTCACATTCGTCGTACAGATTCCTGAGAGCCTACATGTCGTTTTCTATATGTTCTCTGACATTTATCCTAATGATATGAGGCGGTCTTTGTGGAGAAAAAGCTTGCTTAGTGGACTAACTTTGCACTTGAAAGGATGCCCGTTCAATTAAGTTTTAACAGGTCTGACACTACGGCTGTATCTAGGCTAACGGCTAACATGCTAACTATTATTTCTATGTCACTAGTGACTTGAAACAAATTTAGAACGATAGGAGACAGGCTGAAATAAACCGAAATTTCCCTTTAATGTTTATTTAAAGACATTATAATTTGTGAAAAAAAATGGGGGGAAAATGTAAAAAATTGTCTAATCAACCAAAAATGTCACGACCCCTCTGCAGTACCCCTAGGGGGTCCGCGGACCCCCTGTTGAAGACCTCTGCCCTAGACTATCACAGGGCTGACACATAGAGACAGACAACCATTCACATGCACATTCATACCTATGGCCAATTTAGAGTCACCAATTAACCTGCATGTCTTTGGATTGTGGGAGGAGGCTGGAGTACCCGGAGAAAACCCACTGACACGGGGAGAACATGCAAACTCCGAGGGTTCCTGGTTCAAACCCCAGGTGGAGGCAGCTTTAAGGAATGCAGAGTAAATGAGTAACTTACAGACAGACTGACATTAGCATCATTTATCCCAAGAGAAACAACGCCATGATTTCCCCTTTGCTGAAGGCACTCTCACCTTGAACCTCTGGGGCTGGTGGAACTGGATGGTGGCTTTATTCTGAACAAAGTTTTTACAGAGTGCACTGTTCTTAACTTGCCCCTGCTTGTTGAGCACCTTTTTCTTGCCATTGATGCAGCGAACAACGTTGATGTCCCTGTAGTATTCCAGATTGTTGGAGCACAGGCTCTGCAGGTCAGACAGCTGGAACAAAGACTGGTAGTAGGAGGCTGTGCTGGGATCAGATCTCTGGAGATGGAGGGGTTTCTTCTCCCAGTACTCCCTGAAGAACTGCTCTGTACCCATGGGCTGGATGAGGCTCTCGAACAGGCTGACAGGGCTGTTGAAGCACAGGGGTGATGGGATGTCACTGTGCTTTAACCTGCTCTGTTTAGGAGGGAGCTGCTCATCATTATCACTGCTTCCTCTCTTTACACTCTTTGCTGTGCTTTTCTTTGGCATTTTAATCTGAAAAATGACAAATTCAAAATACATCATGAGTGAAATGCTGACTTGAAATCAGGCTGAGTCTTTTCAAATGTGAAATTATGATTACTTCAAATGAAAGTTTATATAAATTTATTCACTACACAACTGTAGCACAACTACATAGACAACTGTAGCCTAATCTCCTCCTGTCTCCTGTGAGACATGAAATTTGACATATATATATATATATATATATATAGTACAGGCCAAAAGTTTGGACACACCTTCTCATTCAATGCGTTTTCTTTATTTTCATGACTATTTACATTGTAGATTCTCACTGAAGGCATCAAAACTATGAATGAACA